GCAATCTAAATATTTCAGCCAGAAAAAGCAACATAAATTACGCCCACATAAACGTACTCAGTCACTTCAAGTCTCAGTTTTGATAGCAAAAGTTCTTCGCACTCTCTCTGACCAAAGTCATCAATAGTGTCTGCAAAAGCATCGTTTGCTTGTTCCGTAGAGCACATGAGGAAGGATCGATCTTCGAATGCATTTGTCGGCTAAATCAGAACGAATACAATATGGACTTTAAAATGGCAGGTTACAATAAACTTGCAAAATATATCCCTATTAGAATCAAACGCAAAAAGTAGGTTACATCACCTAGCAGAACAAAAAAAAGGTAGAAACAACATTAGCACCTCTGTAGTTGGTAGTCCTCAAATTCTACCCACTTCCTTTACATAAGGTAGTTTTATGTGATACCTGCCTAAACCATGACAAGGGTAGATAAGCATCGTTGAAATACAGATGTCTAGCCCGAGGCGTTTACGAACGTATTCTGTGCAATCGGGATAAATATAACGCGGTTATCCCACAGTGGCTGGTAGAATTATGCCCAAACATTTACATCAAATTTTAGTCTTTGTATATAGACCTTGAATATATTGGTCTGCACAATTTGTAAAGAAATTTAAAAGCTGCAAGATTATATCTATATTTAAAAAAGTATTACGAATGCAGTAATAAATTTGGACTCGGTGATCGAAATGGGAAATAACGACGGTTGTATGTACATTCAAAAAGAAGGCCAATTCCGTGAAAGCGGTAATTCTCAAAAGGCACGCGCAGTGTCAAAAGGTAACGTGACAGACTTCACAGACTTCGCCAATGCTGCAAAACAAGACGCAGAATACGTGGATACACGCTATAACGACATTCAGTGCCTTGATGTCAGGCAGGACGGACGGGAGCAAGAACAAAAAAGCCGGCACAGGACGTCAATAATCAGTAGTTCATTATTACATTACGGAAAAATATGCAAATAAAATAAAAACCAGAATTAAGACACACAAAGGAAAGCATTTGCATATTTTAAACTCCTTCCACTATTCAAAGCACCATAATTGTGCTTCTCGTACACTACTACTTTGGGCTTGCATATGAAAGATACTTTTCGGAATTATTTTCTCTGAGTGTATATAAAATAATCGACTGGACGATAATATCCATAAGTTAACTAAACCATGTTTTAACTGAACGTAAATGTTTTAAGGAGTCAAAGAGGCAGTCGGAAGAATGGTACATAAGCCGTAGAAACGCCATTATTTTAAGGACGAAAATTTGAAGGGGCAGATGTCGGTGAAAGTGGTAGTTAGAACGCTCTTGACTAGTCCTTGTAAAATTACCTTAAAGCGCTTGAATCTGGCAGGCTTCCAGGGAGTTAGCTGCAATTGGGACAGATACATGAGGTCACTATCGTTTTCGGCAGTCTTTTTTCGGCTTGCCATGCGCCCTGCTCCGATACTGTCATCCGCTTTAAGTCTGGCCGACACGACGGTGGGCTTCGCACCCGTTAAAGCACAGGGCTGCTGGGAGCTCGATGACGGTGGTTTATCCGCAGGTTC